TGGGAAGATTACTTTGTGGAGTACAATACCCAAAAGCTTTCTAGCCAGCATCATCAGTATATTCCAGAAAAATAACTTTTCCCTGCTCTGCACTAAACAATACAGTTTTGTCCATGTGCTGTGTTTTAAGTATTTCTCCCTCTCTATTACACATATACACACACACTTCTTTTCCCCTTAGGTTTATGAAAACACCTGCAGTTTTTATGATAATGTGGGTTTGAATGCACCATTTTATTAGTTATGGGTGGAGTATACCAACTTGATAAGTATTTCTGACAACTGTTTTTATTATGCTAGATACAAAATATCACCCCTACTCCCTAATTATGCAACAGTTTCAGTGGTATCTGTGAAGCTGCAGATATAAATAGTAGGCATGTTCAGATCATAATTTGAATTTAGCAGCAGCCCTCATGACTTGCAACATTAACCATTTTATGGTCGCTTTAAAAAAAAGTTTTCGTAATAATATATACGAACCTGAAGTACTCTTACAACATCCCTGTAAAGCAGGTCAGAATTATGAGCCCTAACCTGCAACCACCTATCCCATTCTGCAACTTACAGTAAGCCCTGTGTATCCATGGATTCAAGCATCCATGGCTTGTAACAATTTTTGAACTATATAAATTCCAAAAAGCAACCTTTGATTTTGCCATTTTATAAAAGGTACACCATTTTACTAAGGCACTGAACATAATGGGACTTCAGCATTCACAGATTTTGGTATCCACAGGGGATCCTGGAACCAAAACCCAGCAGATTCCAAGGGCCCACTGTATATATGAATGTGGGTCACCAGAAGCAGTGTAGTGAACTCCAAGGTGGCATTTGAACAGGGGATGTATTTTTCACAATTCGGTCTCTCCTACACCAACTATCGTGGAGTGGTAATGATCCAAGTATGGATGCCCTATGCTAAATATGCAAGTTGAGTGGGTGGGTAGCACTAATATATATTAAAAATTCATTGCATTTTTGTCCCACCTTTCTTCCAAGTAATTAAAAGTGGTACCTATTGTTCTCTCTTTTCCTCCCCTCACAATAAACCTGTGAGGGAGACTAAGCTAAGACAGAATGACTGGCCCAGGTTCATGTACATGGCTGAGTGAGACCTTGAATCAAATCACTATAATTCCAATTTAACAACATTCCATGGAATCCAGGGATTTATAGTTAAGGAAGCAGTACTTAGAATTCTTAGCCAGAGAGCTCTAGGACAAGTCTGCACTGGCCAAAATACTCCAGGAGTTGCTCACCAAATTTCTCCCTGTTACTTGTGTATTCCAGGGCGATGCCATGTAGTTGCCTACACAGTGTCCTGCTGTGCCACCTATCGCTGATGCATATTGTACCCTCTAAGGTTAGAAATGAGGTGCCCAATGTCAATCGCGTGGCTGGGCGTCTTGTTGCGACCTCAGCAGCAGTGATCTGTGGTAGTACAGCAGGATGCTGTGTAAACAGCCACCCAGTGTCACTCCAGAGTGCTTCTAGGAATTTTCTGGGAAGATCTGGAGCAAATTGTGAGTTTTAAAATTCAGTTTAATGTGAGGGGAGGGGAACACCAGTTCATTTGGCACCTATAGACATGCCTAGTGCTTCCTCAAACACCCAACACCAGGATTTCATGGATTGCGTCCATAGCAGTTAAAGGAGAATTGTTGCACTCTTAACTGTGTAGTGTGAAAAGTGGCATGGTCTTGCCAGTTCTAGTTTGAACCTAACAACTGCATTATACTGCTGTTGTACTGACTGATTCATCTTCAAAGACAAATCTGATAAATACATGTCAGGATAGTTTTGGATGTCAGGGTGCATGAATATACTATGAATGTAGCATGCCCCCCCCCCTGTTCCATAGTAACTATTGGATTGTTTTCACTTAAGTATTAAATTCAACAAGAGGGTCCCAGGGTAGTGTGACAAGTTGGGAGAGAAGGGGAAAAATAATCTGGTTAGCTGGAGATTACAGAAGGGGAAGAGCTCCACCTGACTGATTTTTATGGGACTTTTGCCAATGCAGAAGGAGAATGTGCTGCTTGAAACGGACTGGCAAGGATGGGTGGGGGAGTATTAATTCACAAAGTCAGCCTGACATCAATGCCAGGAAAAATTCTGGAGTAGATCATAAAACAGATAGTCTGTAAGCATATAGAAAGGAATGCCATGATTACTAAAAGTCAACATGGGTTTCTCAAAAATGAATCATGCCAGACTAATCTTACCTCTTTTTTGGATAGAAGCTTGGTAAATGAGGGAAATGCTCTGGATGTAGTATACCTTGATGTCAGTAAAGCCTTTGACAAGATCCCTCATGATATCCTTGTAAAAAAGATAGTATAATATGGGCCAGACAGTGTGACTGTCAGGTGCACTTGTAGTTAGTTGACTGACTGAACGCAAAGGGTGCTTACGAATGGCTTGTACTCA